AAAATCTAATTTTGTCTGAAACAACTTAAATGCTGTGTGAAAATCAATATTTAATACTTAAAGGCGGCCCTGAAGAAAAAAATAAAATAGACTGGGGAACAGAAGAGCTTCGGTCTGAGGATTGGTGTAAAGGATCATCTTCCTTCTCTCCTCAGTTCAGCTATCCGTCTGTCACATTGATAACCTGTCAGGAGGTGATTACATAAAGCACATCTTTAAAACATGAGGTGTCAGAGTAAGGGGCAGTTTGTGTGTGTTTGTGTTTGTATGCCAGTAGGTAGGTCAGCACTGTTGTACGTTGGCTGCACACTGATGCAACCCTGTCTGTCTGGTTTGCAGCCGTAGTTTGCTTCCAGTGATTCTCGCTTACGTTGAAGCTAATATGCTACTATGAGGCTAAACCGAAGCAAAACCACCTGACACTGGAGATCCTTTGAAGGTTGTTAAACAACGTAACTGCCGTTGTAACCAGACAAAGTTATGTCTTCAACATTCAGTTTAAGTAGTTAAGCAAAACTTCCACTAGGGGGCAGACTGTCAGACTTAATTAGCATATTTTTTCATTCCAAATGTGAGCTAGCCAGTCATAGCCGTGCTGTTAGTTTCAAACTGTTTCATTATTTCTGTTTTTGAATTGTTGTTTTCTTCTTCTGTAGTCCTTCCAATTTCCGATGGTACTGCTCCATTTCCTGCATTGCGAGCTTTCTGAAAAAGTGCTCAAATACACTTGTAACGAACAGAGAGGACGGACAGAAGGCTCCGTATCAATTCCTACACCTGAACCTGACTGGGCCTCGAACAGTATCCTGGACTTCGCAAAACCTAAACATGTGACTCTGTGTCTGCGCAAGACAGGCCAAAACATGTTCAATACCAGGTGTTCCAATCTTATCTTTATTCTGTTATTATGTCATGGAACGTGACTAAAACAAACTAAGACAGAAACAACTTCTTCACGTTCCCTGCTGTGGACCATAAATGGAGCCACAGCTTTATGTTGTCTGCCAGTCCGTGCAGGATCATTTGCTGTGCGTTCGCGGTCCCCAAACACAAACACGCTGAACTAAATCGAAAATTGCCGCCTGTCATGTAAACACCAGCATCTAAACCAGGACCCACTGTGTTTAACCTTTAGCTTTCCCACAAGATAACAGATGGGACACAACGTGTGTATGTGTGTGTGTGTGTGTGTGTGTGTGTTCAGACTGCAGGAGTCTGACATAAATAGTTTACATGCAGTAGCAGCATTACTACAGTACAGTGTACGCAGTGATACCACCACACCAACAGTGTTGATGTTAATGCACCTTTCTGTTCAGGCGGCAGCCCGTCATCCATTCAGAATTCATAAATTAGGCCTCAGGTTGCATCTAAAAGTCGAGAGAAACTAACCCTCTGACCCCCCCGCACCCCCGACACACAACACTGACACAAATCAGCAATTTCTGTGACAGATCCTGCTGCTGACTGGACGTTTGTTACAGACACAGCAGACGATTTGCCTTCTAAGGCACGCTGATATTTGCTGGGTCAGGGTTTGTCACATGCTGGGTTACTGTTCTGCCTTCCTGGGCTCTCAGTCTCAGTCCTGAGGGGGAAAATGCTGCAATTCCAAAGAACAAAGAGGACAGCCCACATCAATATCCAGTAGCTAAGCTGTATATGTGGACATACTTTAACCACAGTAGATGTACACACACTGATCATCATCACCATTATTATCACATCATTGTACGTTGCTAAGACCGTCACTAATAACATTTCACGAACGGAGAAGGTTCTGGGTTCATGGCCCAGAGAACCCACCTCCTTGATGGCGCCTCCTGTGGGGGTTGCAAAGACTCACACTGTGAGTTTCCCCATCGTGGGAGGAACGAGGGACTATATTAGTCTGATTTTTATTAGAGCAGTCAAGGAAGATTGCATTTCTGCCTAAAAAGTCATGGGTTTGATTTCCTGGGATAGACACTTGAACCTACTCATCGTTTCCACTTGATCATTGTGACAACAACCAAAAGACGACCCCCACCCCCCAATAATACAGACCAAGACACAGGACCCTGCTACAAGAGTCCCACTGCCCCAAAGACCGCCAAGATCTTTCCTCCACCGATCCATCGGACAATGAACCACCGCACCAAAAAATGCTTTTTGTAAGTGTGTTAATGGTTTCAAGACTTCTCTTCTACCTGGAATTGCAAAAATGCCAAATTAAAATAACGCAGCTCAATGTTAGTGTTTCCAAACATTTACTTTGGTTCATCCACTGCAGAGTTTCCAAATCACCGTTTAATGTCACAGCAGTTATACACAGTCGATTAATCAACCAATTAGATCACAGAGAACTGACCACATGCGGTATGGATTACTATTTAGTCCCAATACAAAAGTTCCACATTTTCTGGCTCACTAACAAATGTTCTGAACATGATGAAGAACCTGGAGGTTCACTGTGACATCAGCATCCACTGTCTCAGCAGTGGATGTATTTTACACCAACAAACACAGATAAGCTAATGCATCAGTTCATTAGGCGACCACTTACCATGAAAAGGCCGCTGTGACCACAGAGCAAGCCCCCTCCCACACTGTAACTGTTTGATTCACTGTCACACACACACACACACACACGAGCTTGTGAATAATCGGAAAAGACAAAACACACTCACAAATCGGTTGAGAGCCACTACAGAACCCATCATTACGCGCGTCATTTGAACACAACAGTCGACTAATCTACCATCTAAGGGACAGTAGCAGCAGGTGGAGGAGAAGAAATGAAAAGGAGAAGGGGCAGGAGCAAGAGGAGAGGTATGAAAGGACATTGATTCAGAGGAGAAGAGATGATCCTCCAAACGAGGAGAGAGGATTTGTCAAAGACCCGTGGTATGACGGGCGTGAGGAGGAAGAATCAGCAGGTGATACTTTAGGAAGATGAGAAGAGGGAGGAGCAGATTGTCATGCTTGAGAAGATGTAGCAGAGGGAGAAGCCGGGGAGGAGCAGCAGGGAGTATGGTTTCATGATTGGAGAGCTGCAGCGGCTGCTGGAGAGTCTTGGAGAAGCAACAGGGGGAAAAGTAGATGACGGAGGGAAGGAGGGTGCAAGGGGAGGGCCGACATGAGGAGCAGCTGCAGGTAAGATGTACACACACCGAGGGTGATGCTGATGTGACAGTAGGAGGAGGAGGAGATGGCTTTGTGTGGGGGAGGAGGCTGCAGTGGGAGGCAGGAGGTAATGTTTGGAAAGGACCACGGAGGTGATGAGGCATCAGGGTAGAATCACAGAAGGTGATGTATGGGAGGAAAAACAGCGAGGGGAGGTGGAGACAGCTCTTCACAGAGTCACTGACCACTGACCACCAGCTGTGATTATGATTCCATGGGCGACAAAGAGCCACAACAGAACACTGATGGAGGAAGACAAGGTGAATAAAAGCACAAAACGTCAACCAGTACATGATTCCTCACCACATCTGACAGCCGACATCAGTTCAATGTTATGAGATTCAAATGTTATTTTCAGTATTGATTTCTTTTGAATTTAACATGTTTTGGAAAAATGTTAAGGTGCATTTAGGGGCAGGTCTGTGTCAACAGTCAATTGTTTTAGTCACTAACTTAAGCCTTAAAGTTGAAAACACACGGGTCAAGGTAGCATTTTTTTTTTTTTTTTTTAGAGCTGTGGTGCTCAATCTGAAGTCTGGAGTGGCAGAAAAGTACCTGAGAGTGGTGCAGGAAATGTGAAAGGACAGAAGGACTCAGGACAGATACGGTTAGGTAAGAAGCTTGATCAAAATCAAAAAAGTGACATCATTATGTATAGAACAGGCAGTATCTGTGAGGCAGGGGCAAATGTAGGGATGAGGGTAAACCTCGTGTTAGGGTTGATGTTTAAACTTATCTTATCTTTATCTTTATTTGTCATTGTGACACAGCACAGCACACCATGCACAACGAAATTTGCCCTCTGCATTTAACCAGGGTTGATGTTTAGCAGCAAAAAGAAAAGACTGTAGCCTGGACCTCATTGAAACCTGATTCAAAGTATAATGTGAAGACAATGAGGGTTGAGGAGAGAAGAGGCCAAGTGGATGTTGGCAGAGATATGGATGGAGAAATTGTCCAATCAGACAGAACGATAAGGTTGAGTGGTTTCAACATAGAGAGGGCAGGCTGAGAAATATCTGACATCGGATGTCAGAATTGAAGCTGCCAAGAAGAACACGTAGACTCCAGAGAAGAATGACAGACGAAGGGCGGAAGGACAAAAGGATGGTTGATGAAACACAAGAGTCAAGAAAAGGGTGAGGTGGGTGAGACAATCAGGTGTTGGCACCCTGAGAAAAAAAAACAGTTTCAGGAAAACCAACAGGAAACTGAATGATGGCAATCAATGTTCACCCTTGTTGAGAAAAACATTGTACAGCCTTGCAAAAACCACCAGAGGCAGTATTTGTTCTTCTTTCAAACTTGAATTTTTCAACAGAAGAGCCACAGCCCCTAGAGGATCCACTTAGGTACTGCAACAGGATTGTGACATTTGTTTTTTTGCACAGTTTCAACATAAAATCATGACTCTACGAACCTGTGCATTATTTAAATAGCTGAACATTTAATTAAAATTTAAATGATCGTTCATAAATATAAATTAATTATTAGGGCCAGTTCATTATAAAACACCGTTTTATGCAATAGAGTGTAATATGTTTGGGGTCTTTGGCCTTAAAAATGCAGAAGACCCCTGTTCTAAACCACTGCACGTAACTCTGACTACAAACTTCTAATTGTATTCTGTGTAGAAACATCTGCAAAAAGGTCACAAACTTGGACCGTCACGCGTCCCAATATGTCCAGCGGGACACATGTCAGCTGGTGTCTCCTCCATTTGGGACTGAAAAGACATGCATCTATGTCCTTCAACCACGTCTGCACCAGCACAACATTGAGACATGCTCCCCCGAAAAAACCCTCCTCCTCAGTCACCGACCACCACCACTTACCTTCTACTGCAAACACAGAAGTAATCCCCCAGAGGAGAACCAGCATGACCGACATGTGTCTAGATTTCCTATTCCCCAACATTATCCAGCTGTCAGAGCAAAATCCCACCAGAACCCAGATCCACAGTCACATCTCAGTCCTGTGAGTGTTGGTGAGAGCGCTTCACCGGCACAGCCAGCAGAGACTGAAGTGGAGACACAAACACACGCGCACTCTCTCTCGTTCACTCTCTCTCTCTCTCACTCTCTCTCTCTGTCTCTCTCGCTCACATATTTTTATCCAATCAGGAGAGAGCTCCTCACTTCTTAAACCAATCACCCATTCTTTTGCACCTGACCCCCACAGCTTCATACTCAATGGTCAGGTTTCGCTGCTAGCCTGCACCGCGGCTCTGTGGAGATATAGTGACTCCCAGTGGTCAAAATATAGTATAGCAACTAGGGTTTGAATCACAATCAATTATATATTTCTAACAATTTATTTTATTACTGTAATCCCTGAATAAAGAAAAATAAAATAAAATAATGGATTTGTGGACAAAAGCAATAGTAAATACTGTTATGAAAACATGACGAGAACACAGTCAGTGAATGTGATCAATGTTTGATGAATATTAAAATAAAAATGAGATGGAACTCCTTAGTGCATGTAGTCGTCTTTTTCTCTTTTTGTATGCCCAAGTTAGAGACCTTTAAAATTTGAATGCTCTTGCCTTATAGGGTTTTTCAACCTTCGGGTCGCGATCCAATGTGCGGTCACCTGGCATTCAAATGGGGTCTAGTAGTTGATTTTTTTAAAATAAATTCTTCATGTAAATGAAGAATTTACATGAAGAATTTAAGTTCAAATAAATTGCAGAATATAAAAAAAATCTGAACTGCTGCATCTTGATTGGTGGCTGGTGACTGGTCAACCGTCCAGGGTTCACCCTGCCCTTCCCAATTACTCCTGGTTCCAGCCAACCCCACAACTCCAAAAACGTTTAATAAAGTAAATTAAAAACTTGTCGACTTAATTATTCCTTAAAAGCCTCCTGGAATGCCATTCATTGTTGGAATGATAACATTCATTCCACTTTTGGTGCAAAGACTCAAACTTCAGTCCCCTGACAGCTTGGCAGTTGAACATCATTTATTACAACCAAAAAAATCCAATAATAAAAATTAAAAAAAACCCCACAGATTCACCTTTTTAATTTTCTGGCCTCTGCTTCCTGGAGTCAATTAAATGCCTGTAGTACTATCAAACTGGCAGTGGACTCCTCTGAGTAAATTAAACACACATGAAAAAAGCAAAAGTTGCACTAACAGTATTTTTTTTTTTAATTCCTTATCTTAACTACTTTGTGGCTGCTGTGAGACTGCCTATAATAATTCTTTTTTTTTTTTAGTCTAAGGTTCGGGCAGATAAGGTTAATTGTTGAATGATAAAAATTGGTGCAGACATGCTGCACTAACCAGGGAATGTCTGGAAACAACTGACAGCCTGAAGACTGATTTCTGTCTCTGCACTAACTGGACACACACACACACACACACCAATGTGTCCATTGATGAAGTGTGTGTTAATAATAAGGTTGTTTTTTGTTTGTTTGTTTTCTGGGGTTTTTTTTCCAAGGTGAGTTTTCAAGCACAGCATGTTTGAATCCTTAATCTTTTTTGACATGTGACCTCCATTTTGACTTAAATACATTTCTGGCGCCCCCAGAGACGTTCTAGCCAGATTAGTGCCAGGGCCAAAAACCTAATGAAAGTAAAGGAACACAGTTGTTTAAGATTGTGTTTTTAATCATACTTTTCCAATAACGTCATTCCAGACCTAAGAAGGACAGCCATAACCAGATCCATCTTCAGATTATATTCATAAAACCAAACATGAAATAAACCAAAAATAAAATCCTTGACTTCACAGACTGTGGACATGGAGTATTGTTGGTGACAGATGGGACTGTGTTTGAAAGTGAGATTTTTAGCGACAGAATCAGAGTGAGTGAAAAGCAAAGGGAAGAAAAAGTGTGATGAAAAAGAAACAAGTATAGAGTATGTGAAAATTAAATAAATAAAAAAACATGACTTGATTTTCTGAGGTAAAAGGAAAAAGAAAATTCAGCTCTTTAATGTTAGTGATGGGCTTTGGCATGATGACGTGGAGCCAACTGGCCTTTAGTCAATCACTGAAGTGAACCTGGCACATTTACTGTAGGGACCTTTTAAAACCAATCAAAAATACAATCCAAAACTATTCCTCATCAAACTACAGGATATTTTCAGGTTCATATTTTCTTTCTTTTTGATTGTGGAGATCTCAGACTTTTCAGATTAAGGTATGGATCAATCAGCAGAGATAAAAATCAGGACTGGGAAACCTTTCTCCTGCGTTCAGTACTTCCAATATTGACAAGGTTCATCTGTCTTACCTAAAAGGTAGTAGTTTCAGCTCCCAGCCATCGTTAGTCATCTCTGTGAGACGGCTGACTGTAGACAGCACAGTGGCCTTGACTTTAAAAAAAAAATCTCACTCAATAAACACAAAAGGCTGCAGAGAAAAAGACTATGCACACATCAAGATTTTTAATGTCGAGAAATCAGTGTTTGACTGCTCCAGTCTGATCAGCAGGAGTGAAAACACCTGTGTGTGTGTGTGTGTGTGTAGCAGCACCTGTGCTGAATTAAAGCCTGCACCAAAAACAAGGTCACACCTAAACACTCCTGCAGCTGGAACAATTACCACAGTTCATGATACAAATGCCCTAAAGCAGGGATTCCTGCTTTAAGTAAGTGCCACTAGGGGGTGCGCGAGATTAAAATACAAATATGATGGCGGTTTAGAGTGTTTGTTTTTTAGTGGGATTTTTCCACACATTATTAATTAACTACATTCATTTAAAAATACAGGATGGTTTCGAATAGGTTAAAGTTTGTGGAACTGTTTTGTGGTCCAGCTTGGTGTATGGAGGGTTCAGTAAGAACGAGGTTGTATTTTCACTGGACCACATCTGTTTCCTTAAGGAGGACAGAATGTGTTTTTCAAGTACCCACTGTAGTACTGACACTTTACGATGTATTACACTGAACTGTACAATACCACTGGGACAGATGTTTGCTGAGCTAAACAACAATATTTGCACAGCGTACAATAGCTGTTGGTAAAATAAATAAATGTATATACTTCAAAGTTCAGGTGAAGTAGAAACTTTTCATGGAGTTTTATTAATCGGTGATTCTGATCCTAATGTGAACTTTGAAAAGATCCTGGTCCTAGACTTGCGTGAGGACTGATTACAGCTGATTGTTCCTGCAATGTTTCCAAACCGTCAGGATTTTTCTGATGTATTAGAAGATAAACGTGTTCTGATGCAACAACCTGATGTTGTAAACACAATGACGTCGATTAGGCCTCAATATTTTGTATATCCTCACTGTATATCCACCTTTACATTTAAACATATTCAGTTAAGATCCCACCAGGCTGTAGTTTTTAAATTTAGTAAACATTAAATTGATCCCTTCTAAAAACATGAGATTTAAACCCAGCATCCATGAGCGCACACACACAGCAGCAATCAAACTGTTTAATGATTTAATACACGTATGAAAAGGTTTGGCATTGTTACACAGCTGTGTTCCTGTGTCAGTGACGGTTGTTATGACCTCATCAATGACGAAGAAGTGGGCGGGGCCACAAAGGTGACGACAGATCACAGGAATAACCAGTGATAGTCTGCGGATATCCTGTATTTTACAAACATAAATGAAAACTTCCCGTTTGTGATCTGTGAAACACTGCCTCTTGTGGTGTAACGTGTGAATTAAATGAGACTGAAATATATGTAACATTATTTTTTAAAACGTTGAAGAAACTTTGTCTGTGCTTTGGTAAGACTGTGGTTTTCTTTTATTTTGAAATGCTAAGGTCTACAGTGAACGTGACGTAATGACAACATCTCAAAAGTTTGACGTGTTTTCTTTTATCTGTAAAACGTCAAACAAATGCGTTTATGCCGACACACACAACTACATCACAGGTTCGGGAGAATTCTTTGCTGTTTGACTTTATACTGTACATTCATGGCCGAGTATGGAGCCAGTCTTTTTTTGTTTTGTTTGTTTTTGCGAATCTACACAAACATTTACATCTTACAGAACGTTATAAAACAGAAGAAAAACAAGGTGTCGCTGAACGCACCACACATCTGGGCACTTAACATGTTTTCAAAAAGGCCGGAAACTGCAGCTAAATAAACCTGAAAGAAAATCCATATATGAACCAACAGTGTCCTCATCATCATCTTCATCAACGCTGGGTCTGTTTTTCTCTTCTTTCTTCTGTTTTTGTTTTGTTTTTACACAATTTCTCCATCCCCAAAAAATCAACTGAAACCAGCTCAAGGTACCAATCCATTCTCCGTTCAAATAAAAAAAAGAAGCTGAGCAGAAAAAAAACAGAATACAAAAAAATTCATCACCGTGAATGTTCCTCATGGTTAAAAGAAAATCATGAGCATTTACTCCGCTCGAAAATGTTCTTCTCAACTTCGCGAATATTTTTCCAACCACATTTTCTCAGTTTGTTCCACAGTTAAACCCTGCTGTAGGATTGAGAGTCTGACAGCAGGGGGCAGCAGTGGTCCATCATCGCTGACGCAGCAGGAGAACCAATGGGAACAGGAGCAGGAGGCTGCAGAGCCGGATCGGAGGTGAAGATGCTGCTCTGACTGGGTTATTATCCGGTGGGTAGGGGTACAATCCCGGTCGGTTCCGACGACACTGTCCACCCACACACGTCCCACTCCCTGAGCCGCTGATGTCATCACCTGGCGACACGGACAAAAAGAATGACTCAGCATTTTTAACTCTAATGAAGAAAATAACATTTATACATTTCACTGGAATAATTTTTTTTTCACTAACAATTTTTCAGTTTATTTATTATCAGTGTCAACAATGTTAAATTATCTTTTTTTTAAACAATGATGAGATTCTCTCCCAGTCACACAGGTATCTCAGATACTGTTAGAGTATATCTATAATAATATGTATTACAATAATATGTCACCTCAAACTTGGAACATGTTATTTTCATTCAAATTAGATTTACAATAGACGTATCGCCTAAAAGGCCCTAGTAAAAAAATTCCAAGGACTCACTGGCATCCTGGAAGTCCACGTCATTCCCCTCCAGGGCGTTCTTCAGCCTGTTGCTCATGATCTTCAGCTGCATGATCTGCTGTCTGATGGTCATGTCTGGCTTGGTGATGTCCAGCTCCACCTCTGGATTGTTGATCTGACTGGCCAGACCGTTGCCCATCACTTCTGGTAGGTACCTGTTGGAGGGGAAATCATGTGGGGTTAGCTTTGGCGATGCTAATTTTATACAGGGATGTCCGATACTGAACTTTTGCCGATATTGTCCAAACACTTAATTTCTGATTCTGATATCAACCGATACCATTACACTACTGAACACTTACAACGATTCTTACAGATATGACATAATTATGTCAATATCGGCCGATATTATGGCACATTCCATATTTTATTTTATCACCTTATCACCACCAGCCTGCAGTATACAGTGTTCCACTAGATGTCGCTGTGGACACACAGGTATTTACGATAACAACATTGATGCATAAACGCACACCTACACACACAGTCAGAGATTCATCAACATTTCACCGTCTCCCTCACACACACACACACGTGCGCGCTCTATCTTTCACACCTTTTGACTGTCGTATATTTCAGTTGTGCTCTACTCAGCATAAATGTCAGCACTTGGCTGTGATCCAGCTGTTTGAGGGTGTGTGTGTGTGTGTGTCTGTGGGAGATGGGGAGTCACGGGGGAGAGGAGGGGAGAGGGGTTAATCACATGTATGCATTATCAACACGGCATCAAATTGTTCTCTAATCCACTAATACATGGATCAAGAGCGAAACAAACAAACCCGGAGTCTGTGTTTGTGTTTGTGTTGATATCAATGATTTCACTGCAGGATTTGAATTTCCATGACGGGAAAAAAATCTCAACTCAACAACTTTGGGATGAAAGAAAATCTCTGCATTTGCAGCTTCTGGTGTGTGTGTATGTGTGTGCGTGCATGTTTGGATAGAACTGACCTTCTCTGAAGTCAGCAAGTACTAAACCTGCACACAACAGGTTTTAAATGATGTGTGATTAATGCAGTATATGCTACATTCAGCATTATGATGGAACGTGCTGCAGGATATACATACATATATATATATATACATATATATTCATGTGTTTTAACACCGGACTCGCCCGTTACCTGTCATTCCTCACAGCTGTGTATAAATTCACACCTCAGCCAGCTGAGATAATTAGGCTCTGGTGTGGGCATCGTTTACTCACTTGGCTTTGGTGATGCCGTTCCAACATTTATCCTGGATGTTGTTTCCTGCGGACATGTTGTTACACAGTGCAACAGGGACCTGGAGGGAGCTGGATCCAGTACTGTCTCATTTCTCTCAGCTTACTGGAAAGGTCTGACACCTGAGAACAACGGAACACAGCCATGATGAGTCATGATCTGTCACTGTGATTACATGGATTTGTTTTGGTATGCCGTTTTAGGTATTACTGTACAGCCTGAAGAATTAGACAAGAATTAGCACATTGTACTTGCTTATCTAAGTAATTGGTCAAAATTGCTGCAAATAATTTATCTTTATTCATCAATGTGAGATTCACAACCAGTGAAAAATAAATATACTCGTCCACTAGATGGTAGCAGATGGCTACAAAAACTTAAAAAAAACTGCCTGTGATCTTTGTGTCTTTCTTCAATTCCTGCAAGAATTAGCCCAGGATAAACGCAGAGTAAGTAAATTGTGAAGAAATTGTAACTAGAAAATGTTGTTAAAAAAAAATCAATGTATCAGTAACAACTACTTCTAAAATTGTTGTCTTTTTACTTCCATTAAGTTGTTATGCAACAAATACAAGCTTCTGATCTAATACAACAAATAGGTTATGCCAACTGGAAATTGTGTTGGTGGCACGTACTTGCATCTCCAGCCTGAGTCCAGCAGTGGGTGAAGGTTTGTAGTCGGACGCTGTCAGGGAGCTGCTCTTCCTCCTGTGTTCATTCAGGACTGGACTTCCTGTCCCTGGTTCACCTGGGTGTCCGCAGGTCTGATACACCTGTACATATGCACAGATGCAGGTCAGCACCGGAAGTTACGAATGTGACCTGTAATCTATGACTTAAACCACTGCAAGAGCTTCTTTCAACCACTAGATGTCACCCGAGATGAACGTTTAAAAGCAAACGACTTTTAGATCCATTAACTATTATGAAAAATAACACGGCCAATGTTTATTTCTAAAATATGCACATAATGTGGACAGGTAGATAAATACGAAGTTTAAACTGCTACATTATTATTTTGCCGTGTCTCACAGAGCAAAGGTGAAACCTCCAGCTGCCAGTTATCCCTTAAGTAAACAATTTTTCAAGAGTTATAATTACATTTCTCGATGAGTTTGCAACAAACACCTTGATCTAAGACCTGTAAGTAAAATTCATCCCATAAAGTGATGGATGTGGACTCAACAGACACATCACCAGGAGACTACAGATTAAAACTAAACTATGTTTATCTTACTTTTGCCGTGAAAGACTCCATGTTTTCCTGCTGGTAGTGAATGGCCTCATAGATCCAGGCAGGGATGGAGGACAGGACCACATCCAGACTGGGCTCCATGCTGAAACTGGCCACCACCTGAATCATGGTGTCTGAAGAGGGGAAATGGAAGAAAGAGAGCAGGTGTGAATTTAAAAACTTTTCTGTTCTTTTGAAAATTATTGTCTGATTTTCTTCATCCCTTGTGAATGGAATTTGACTGACTTTATAAGAAACAAAGTACAGACTAATCAGGAATGTCTGAATTTCTTCATCCCTTGTGAAATTTTGGAATTTGACTGACTTAGAAACTAAGAAACAAAGTACAGACTAATCAGGAAGTAGGGGTACTTAGCACCACTTACAGGCCAGGAAAGAGGAACAAACTTAGCGCTTACAAACAGAAAGTACAAAACAAATATATTAGAAATTCACTGTGATATTTATTTTAAACCAAGTTGGTTTATGTTGGGGTGTTAAAGTACAACTTCGCCTGATCAGTTTTTTTTTTTTACAGTAATAATTCAGTCTTAAATCCATCGAAAATAATTAGATCATCAGACAAACCATACCTGCAATCAATGGCCCAGAAATGCCACAAAGACAAACAAGAAAAGAGCAGATCAATCAGATTTGTTCCTATTTGATTTTTGAGATCTGGCCGAAAAGCAAACAACTGAGTGAATACTGATGAAAATAGTAATATTGATAATAATACCACTGCTGCCACTGGCACTTGAAGTATTGCTACACTGCAATACATCTTCTACAGGAGTTTACGCCCAGCCATGTCAGATGCCAAAGTAAACTCCTAACAAAGCGCAGCAGTCCATGAGTGATGACAGGTGATGTAGCCAGAGACAGTGGATGGATCATGTAACGCTGTTGGATGGAACAGAGGATGTGGAACAGTGAGGTGACCCTGAGGCGGAGATTTTTTTTCTCTCTCTCTCTTTGAAACACATCAGCAGAACGGTTCAACGAAAGCTGTATTTGAAAACCTTCATCATGACACAGCTGAAGGAATTATCGTTTATTCATTTCACTTCAAACACTTACTCCTTCACAAGGTCGCTGCGTTGTTGGGATGAAGGCGGCGTAAATGTAACCCACTATTCACACTCAAACTGCTACGTTAGCCTCGAGAAATCCATGTAAACACCGAAGGAACAAACAAAAAAGGATACAAAAGATACATTTGTACTATATTGATGCCATATCTGACATGTTGTGTTAGCAGCAGATATGCTGTTCACAGGCCGCCCCTAACAAGCCCCAAGGTTGTGGCTCCTCTGGGAATTGAACACAGGGCTCTCCTCTCTCAAGGTAGGTATGCTATCCACTACACTATGGAACTGACCAGACTCTGGACAGAAAGACTGACATCTACCACCGGGGCTCGAACCGATGATCTTCCTGTAAAGCTAAAGCACTAACCACTATGCCCACCGCATGGCTTCAGTTCAAACCGGTTTCACAGATGAGGTGTGACGTCTGTTCCACTGATCAACAGCTACAGAACATCTGGATCTACTCCACGGTTCAGTGACTGATTGGTACCTATGAGGTTCTGCCACTCGGGGTCCAGGTCGGCTTGGTTGGCCAGGCAGCCCTTCATGACGTTGGAGCAGTAGTTGGTACAGGGTTTGACGGAGGACAGGCCTCGGCAGTGGGGGCAGTAAACCAGCTTCATCAGGGCCTTCATACACTCTGGACTCAGAGACACCTGGTGGTGGACAGAGAATGTTGCATTAGCAGAAACACAACTGTTGTCCGTTCTCACAACCAGACCACAGTTAAAGGTCTGTGTGAACTGAAGAGCTTTAACTGAACAACGTCTGAACTCAAACAGGAGTTGATGCAGGAATGAGGGTTAAAATGGTTTTAATGTTCTAGGGCCCAAAAATGGTCCTAGAACCACTAGTTGGGGACATCTGTTCTAGGTTACAGGTATCACAGGTATCTCTTATTTCCGAATTTAACCCAGACTCAGATTCAATTTGTCATCTTTGTTTTCCAAGGGAACGTTATCCTCTTGTTATGCTGTCCTTGAAGTATCTCTGATTTAACTCTGTGACATAACGAGTCATGTGTCGGCTTTATCTGGTCTTTTCAGATGAAGTCTGACTCATTCTACTGTATTTCTTTTCACCTAATATTCAATATCAGATATTTTTTAAATGTTTTAAATGGTTTAAAGCACTTTTAAAAAACACAGTTTGTGATAAACTTACCTAAAACTAGCAGATTCTTCTGAACAGAATTATTTAGTGAAAATACAAGACATTACCTTAAATAATGTTTGCAAATAGCTGCGTAACATTAAAGACGTGTGTACAAAGAAAACCTGAAGCCCAGAGAGCGGGACTGAAGGTTCATCAGAGAAGAAGCCTAAAGGAAAGAACAGTTGGAGCTTCCTTTGACAGGCTTTAAACAGTACCCGGTTCCTGTTACACCTTCGCCTTCTCATCATTTTCACAAGTCCTCAAAGGTGTCACTTTGCACGGGGGAGTTATTTTACCATCACCCCTCACAGATGTGACCTAAGTCCACTCCTAACAAGGACAGACGTTCAAAAATGTTCCGTGAATCATTTATGTCTGGATAAACTAGTTTTTTTTTTACTTTGTCTGCATCGCTCAACAAATTTCTGCAAACCAGTTCAGAGCTGTTTGATCAATTACTGTCAGCATCAAATCTGCATCAATTTGCCGACGTGTCTCGGGGAGAAAATGGTCGCGTTGAAATGTGGTTTAAGTGCTGATCAGTTCAGAAACGTCTGCAGCGATAACAATAATGCAGCACGGACAAAAATTAATGCAGATTAGATGATCGCTGTGATGGATTACTCCATCGGTTGAGAGGCGGGGTGGAGGCTTTATTTTACTGTTAACATACTGATGCATGCTGGGAAGTTTACAAACCACAAGGGCAACATTTGCATTAGTTATTTAAGGTATAGAGACTGCCTGAGCTAAAACAACGGTTGTTTTACTGACACATATAAGAATTTTTCTTTTAGGGTTTGAGCCAGATTAGGCCCGTGTGCCACCAGTTGATGATCACTGACTTAAGTCTTCAATTGTAGCTGTTTAAATTGAGTAAATATGACTGTTTTATGGAAGCATATACGTTACATGTGTTAATTAACTGCTAATATAATGCAGAAAAAAACATCCAGGCCGGTCCTTTTTATCAATAATCATGACCACATGGGCTGAATCTCACCAAGAAATCTAAGGCGGGGTCAGCCGACACACATTGTCAAATATCAGAAAACACACAGACTTATTTTTGTTTTGTTTTTGTTTTTAAATGATTGCACAACTTCAGCACGTCATAGGAATCTGCTCCTGGTTTACAGCTGACGACGGGCGTCACTGAGGAAAGTGCATTCAAATGTCATGTATACAGTGGGATATGGTCCAACATCATTAACACTGACATTACCATATTGTATTGAGGATCTGAGCCAAAGAAAATCATTACGGTGCAATTCAACATTGACATGCTGGAAACAAAGCACAGAGAGTGAAGAAGCACTGACGAATGTTGTCATCAAATAAAGTATAAAGCCTGTTGAACAAAGCCGTGCGGGGAAAATACATCAGGAGCTAAAAAAAGAGTCGTCACGCCCATAAGTTGACAAGTCTGTTGTCACGCTTCCAAAAGACAGATTATTTCTGGTGGTGGATTGTGACACTTATTTTGATGATCCCTGCTTTTCCTTCTTCCAGGGTGGGGACATTTTTCCTGACAGTTAGGGTGTGACGCCAACGCATTCATCAAAAATGTTTTCTCACATCCATGCCAAGCATACACACACACGCCAGACATGTATATACACACACACATGCACAGAGAGGAAAAAAACAACGACGTCTTGATACAAAGGACAAACGGGGTCATGAACTTTCACGTCTGTTTTTCAGCTGACACACACACACACACACACGTGTGCTCACCTGTGACACCTTCCTGACCACTTCCCCGCTGATAACCAACCCCTGGATAAAGGACCGGGCCGTGACAAAGGCTCGGATCACCTTGGTCTTCATGTCACGAGGCACGTCTCCAAACGGCCTCAGTGTCTCCTGCTGCTTAGCAACACATTCCAGGTATTCCTCTGATAGGCTGACCTGATAAACATGACATATGATGTAACACAGAGGTCAGAGGTTAAAACATGGTGTCCTTAAAGTCTAAAAGAGTGCTAAGAGGGTGGCAGCTAGAGGGAGACAGAGACGTCCTCTGCGTCTTCACTTACATCCGCTGAGGCGGAGGATTTGAAGGTGCGCTCCAATAGGCCGGACCAGAACTCGGACAGGGTCTCGTCCAGGTTTAGGGCGGAGCCTCTGTAGTACTGTCGCAGGTCAACGTAGAGGTCGGTGTACAGACGGGTGTTCTGGGAGTACAGCGGGCCGAGAGGAGACAGGATCTCCTGGAGGGAGCGCTCGGAGTGGCTGTGCAGGTCGGTGAAGTAGGCTGGAGGAGGAGGAGGAGGAAAGAGGAAGGAGGAAACACAATTTATTCATCTCTTATCTCTTTATCTCTTCTTTTTTGTTGTCATGTATGGGATCATCATCACACCCACGATTCACACCTACGGACTGGGAGAGGAACACACAGGGAGAACATACAACCTGATGACCTTTTCGCTGTAAGGCAAGAACACTTACCACTGTTCCACTGTGTGGTCCATCATTATCTTTAATTGACGTTTATTAGTCTCCAATACTAAATTTGTCGGAGGGCCAGAATTTTCTGGACACCTCTGGGCCTGGACACTCAAATAAAATGAAACATAAATCACAATTTTTTGTCTAAGATTTTTGGACAGATTGGCGGGCCAGATTTGGTCCACGGGCTGCGAGTTTATGACCATAATCTTTTTTACTTCCTCGGAGAAAAACCTGGGCCTGTTAAGCTGAATATAAAGCTGATGAACTCACAGGAATTGAAGAAAGCCACACATGAAGATCATCTTCAGTAGCTCTTTCTTTTTTTATGTTTTATAACCATCTGGGGCCACCTAGTGGAAGGCTGTTTAATAGTTCAATCGAGTGATTGACAGGTTTCACGTGTCGAGAATATTGGACCAGTCATGTGTCTCAGCAGTTCTGGTCCAGGATTTTCCCTCATTGTGGACGTTTGCCAGCCTGTCCTAATGACGAGCAGATGGACGGCCACATTATTGCTACTGAGGTGGCCTTCAGCCCTCAGACTAATAATGCTGTCCTCCTCCTCCTCCTCTTCCTCCTTTCACTCACACCCCACAGTATTTCTCTTCTTCTTTTACATCATCTCCTCTGTGCTAACAACACGTTTCTCACTCGGTGTATTTTGGTTTTATCGGTGACACTTCTCACTCTTTTTATGCCTTTTCTTCACCCTCCCCACCTCCTTCTCCACCTCCTCAGATGTGCCCTGATCTGCAGACTTGACTCCTCTGTGGGTCAACAGCTCATTAGCTGGAACAGCCACAGCCCCGGGGGGGGGGGGGGGGGGCACCCCTCCTCTGTTCGGATGTTTGTGTGTGTGTGCGTGAGAGAGCGAGAGAGCGAGTCCATCAGGGAGACCACTAACTGTGTGTTGTAATGAGAATGGAGTGAGCCAGACACAATGAAACGTGATAAGCCGATCCCCTGATCACGAAGGGGTGTGTGCACAAAAAACACACACACACAGACACACACACACACTCACCACAGAAGCCCCTGTTCTGAGCTGTGGGCACCGGCGAGGACTGCACAAAACACTAACTCTCAAACACAAAACACATAAATGTCAGACTCCCCTTGGCTTTTCCACCCAGAGCTCTGCCAGTAATGAGTCTCAAACACACACACACTATCTCTCTCTCACACACACACACATATCCATAAACATGAAGTCTGCTTACTGTCAAAGCTCCTGTAGAGAGCGTTGAAGGCAGCCTGTAACGACCTGCCGGCCTCTCTGATCAGTCCTTCTGTCTCTTTGGTGGCCAGGACGGACAGGTTCTCCTCCATGGTGCTGGTACAGCAGGTCGGACCCTGAGGACACATCCTCAGATGTTCACCTGGTGGAACGGAGAACAGGTGTCAGGCCATACCTTGAGTTAGACTCCATGTTCTCTGCAGGTTGTTATCAGGCCAACGACTTGATAACGATGCCGGCGTTTTGGAAAATGTGAAAACTGTTTATTCTGAGGCTGTGATTCACCGTCTTCCAGTGACAACACATCCAGAAATGGTGATGGTGTTATATTCCACACGGGTGAACTCAAATTATTCTGAAAGCCCTGAGGTCAGCTGGTCCTTACAAGATGCTTATGTAATTTTTATGAGTTCACGAGTTCCATTTTAATGCAGACAAATCCAGTATACTCAAAGGGAATGGTAAAATAACTTGGGCAGCAGCCGCGGCAATACCACATGTGCAAATGTTTTTTTGTTTTTTTTCTATTTGTATTGGAAAAAATGTTGCACAACACATTCCCATCTTTTCTATGTTAAAACAAAGTACTTTGAATGTGCAGAACTACACACTCAATGTAAACAAAAGAGAAGAAAAAACATCTGGTTTTGCTACTTTTTTTTTTGGTCAACAAACCACAGACACACTGTACGGGTCAAACATTGTATGTGTTATATAATATTTAAAATAATTTAATTTGAGAACTAACACCATTCTGTCAACAATGCATGTTAATGAGGGCATTAGAATTCATTTTGATCGTGTAGATCGTCTGAAAAATCAATCCTTGAAAGCAATTTATGCATCATCAGTGTCCCAGCAGACAGAAGGTGCCTCAAGGCATGTGTGTGTGTGTTAGTGTGTGTGTGTGTGTTTGGGAGGATGGGGGAGGATGGCTGTGTGCACTCTTTATTCACCATCACCATCAAGTGAAGCTAAAAAGCGAAAGTCCTTATCATCACTGGTCCATGAAGCTTTCATTTGTGTTACTGTGTGTCAGTGATGATAAACTGGTGGGCTGCGGGCTGAATGCAGCCCATAGAATAGAAAAGTATTTCAGTACACTTCTGAAATCTGATTCCAAGTGACTCTGTGTCAGTACACTGCAAAACCCTGAAATGTCTGCAGTACTTGGACACGTACTGCAAACGTTGCCCCGCTCCAAAGCATCAAAACATCATAACACATCATCTGCTGCAGCTAACATTAGCACCGACTGGTTGGTTACTTTACCAAACCGGACACAGGGCGTCTACCACAGACACGTGCTCCGCTGCATTCCTGTGTGGCTGGGTAACGGAACAGCTGGTATCCTGCTGCTGTAAACTTTAATTTACTTGAAAAAACAGAAATGAACACGGAGGCCACTCAGCAGCACGTGTACGGAAAGTTGCCAAGTCGCAGACATGCAAATTGGTAAGTTTTATCGAGAGCGAAGGAAGGACTTAGTGTCCCTTCAACTCTCAGTACTGCACCCCCGTCATGACTCTGAGGGTGTCTGGGTCGGGGCGGCGCGATAAGAAATGGAGCATTTTGAAGAAGAAAATAAAGAGGAGAGGGAGATAAGGGTCAAATAAATTCACTATCTGCGGTTGGCCTGCTGCTAACACAGCTGCTTTTTTTTTACCCTGAGGCTTCGCTATCTATTTAGTCCACAGCCTGCAGGGAAGAAAGTTCTAGTGATTCACTCCCTGATGCCTTCAGCCTCACAGACCTAACGGAAACCAGGAGATACCAGGAGTGGAAAAAGGAAAGAAATACAATGAATATATGTTTCAATCAATCCCAGTAATCTCAGTGGACTACCCTGGAGCTTTGCTGCTACTCTGTACTTTATGTTCGGGTGTCACTGAAGGCTACACGCCACAGAGTGTGAATCAGTGGTGTCCATGTAGATCAGGAACTACCAGTGGATAGGAAAGAGAGTACTGGTTGATCATGAGGCATTAAAAAAATTAAATAACAATAATAAAAAAAAAATATATATATACAGGTATATATATATATGCATACTGTAGGCAGCCTTTAGCTCACTTTAGCCTTCAGCTCCCAAGCTGAAAAAGTGTGGGCACCACGGTGTAAATGGTTCGTGGTCTTGCCTTACAGTGTAGAGGTCACCTGTTCGATTCCCATTTGGTCCAGTCATTTGTACAATGGTTTCTACACAATAAAAAAAATCTACAGACTTAGTTTGAATGGACACTTTTACTGACTATAAATATGAGGTTTAATGCTAACAGTTGTTAATCTGCCGCTGACTGGTTAACTGCCCAGGGTGTAATCCAACATGACTGCCAGGATCGACTCCAGCCCCTCCTCCTTCCACAATCCTGATGTTAATTAAGGCGTAAAAGATAAACACTGAAGGCTACAGACGGATGAGTCCATTTTTTTATATAAAATCTGTAATACATTTGAAGAGTTATATAACCGGCAGATTGGAGATTCAACCCAACAACCCTTTTCAGTCTGTAATCCAATAATCGTAGATGAAGCTGAGGCAAAAGCCAGACACGGATTATGCATCATGGAGCACATTCACCTGGTAGGACGGCCAGGAACGTCCACCAGGCTCGTTCGGTGGTATTGATTAGAAAGGAAACATCTGATGTGAATGTCCCAGGAATAAACTGATTTAACGGTGGATTCTGTGCCAAGCCCAGCTAGGTTCACGTCCCGTCCTCAGCCCAATGCTGCATTTGAGGTTCTGCAGACATTTTGGTCTTAATTATTAGTGAATCCATTTAATTTGAAACTTGTTTTTTGTTCTTGCCTGCAGATGCACAACAGCTGACAAGATGTGAGCTGGAGACCACATCAAGACCACACGGCTCAGCCATTCATTTCCTTTTCCTGTCGACAGCATCTGGCTCTCACTTTCCTCCGCTTGACACACACACACACACAAATACACACACACACACCCTCCCTCTTTTTGACACAGGCTTTTATCTTCCCATTGCATTCCTTGCGGAGGACGTGGCATACCTGTGCCCGTCCAAACAAGTGAGGAAACCTCAGACTGGCATCAAAGAGCGGGTCCAAACCGCTCATTGATGTCAAATGTTGATGGAGAAGTAAGACTGAACAGAACTCAACCCAAATCAAACTCCCATCAAAACCCAAGGCTCACGAAGCCAAACCAAATGTTCTGGTTTTCGGTAACACCCACAATCAATCAAAGTTTTAAACAGCACTGTTTAAATGCCTTCACACTGGAGACACTCTCGCCCCATTTGTCACCTGTAATTAATTACTGATAACATTTTCAGTGCTGTTGGCCCACAGTGGTCTGGTCTGTGGCCAGGAACATATTCATTTCAGTGGGAATATTTTTTTATCAGTGAATGACATGGGAATCTTATTATTGATTTTTATTTACCTTCATGTGGAATTATTAAATATCAACTGAACTGAATTGGAAAATTACCAGCAGTAAAGATTATTAATAATAATTAATGTGAAGCATTTAATCATAGTCTTAATTCTAATCAAACTCAATTACTACTCGACACGTTGAACTATGGAAATTGCCATCAGGTCGTTTGATTAGTTACCCAGCGCTCTGAGTAAGATCCTTAAAGTAATTGCAGTGAAGGTTCACGAGTATCAACAAGAACGTTCATTTGGTTGAAAATTCAACACGGTGACTAAAGCTGGATGAATCCAGCTTTAGTCACCGTGCCGCAAATGGTAATTCATTTTATTTCTGGCCTGTATTATAAAAATAAGTACTTGAAGAATGGCGCCACCTATTGTTCTCATAAACCCAGAATATCTTTGAAAAGATAACTATTGACTTTAGACTTAATTGAATGAATGGAAAGTGAATCAACTTGTGTCCTAGTAATAAAGCAGTACATGTCCAGGATTACGACAGTGGTGATGGATTTTGAAGAAGCGCACACACACACACACACACGCCACCATGTGGCCATGATTCGACCAGGGTCAGCAGATGCGCGGTTATGAAAAACAGGTCACAACATTTTACAACAAACAACACACTCGCATGTTTCTGTCTGTCACGTAGACAGTTGTTGACATAATGCATTCCCGCGGCCCGTCGCTTAAATGTAACGTTTACCCATAATCCTCAAAAATGTCTTTGAAGTGAACAGAAGCTGTCAAAACGTCCTCACACCCGTACGAGACGTGTTCCTACATCGACCGCACAGAAGTGTAGGTGAACGACAGTCAGTCTGACGTAGAATAAAAATAACCTCAGGCCGAAGGTTAGTCCAAAGCAGGGGTGTCAAACATAGGGGCCGAGGGCCAAAACTGGCCCACTAGGGGGTTCTATCTGGCCCGCTTGATGAATTTCAAAACAATGCACATGCTGGTGAGGTTTTGTCAAATTATTTTATCAAATATGAATGTTTTTGAATACATTTTTACAAAACGGGGAAAACATGGAATTATTTTTATTTAGGCAATTGTGATATGATTGGACTGGTCCGGCCCACTTCACATCTAATCAGGCCGTATGTGGCCCCTGAACTAAAATTAGTTTCACACATCTGGTCTAATGAATCACTACATACAGGGATTTCTATATACTGTATATGTATGTAAAAGCAAATCACACACACACAAACACACACAACTTCACAAAATCCATGTGTGGGAAAAACTGCAGCGGAAACAATTGCACATCTCTGACGTTGGAGCCAGGACTAAATCCCAAACCTGCCAGACTAGGTAATTACAGCTTTAATCATAACTAAGTATCTCACCGACTGGTGCGGGTGCACTTTGTTCAACGATAGGTAATTACAGGAAATTTGTGTAGCATGAAAAATACAAGATCAATTTGGTTTTACTCGAGAAACTGCAGCGACATTCCCAATATCTGAGATTAGCGAGGCTTCCAGCCGGTTAAATGAGACGTGTAAATCCACTCTCAGTCACAGCCACAGGAGCAGAGCTCCATCACGTGTGTGACCCGCACCGACGCTGCCGACTAATCTTTGCCTGTCGACCAGTGTACCCTGTGGCTGAGTCAGCGCGCTGCAGAGCACAACTTAAGGCTCTCAAATGACTAGTTTCCAGATGTTCAACCATTGCTCAACTTATTTTAGTTGCTGACACAGGAATAAAATT